CTTTTGTTGTATTATTTGTGTAAAAAATATTTTCTTTTTTTTTATACATATTCAACACGTCCTTGTCTTCTTTTAAAGATCTGAGAAATTGAGATGTTTCATCTGTAACAAAATTTTATTATATACATGTTATGACCTATGCTTTTACCTTCAACACTTTATTTTATATAAACAGTACCATTTTCCTCACAAATATTTTCTCCTTTTCCACAAGTATTTAATGTACTTTTAGTTTCTTCTAAAGATGAAATTGGCTGAGCATTTTTTCTTTCTGGTAATACCTGTAAAAATGCTTCTTGCCAGGTTCCTCCTTCACTAACTCGAAGCAAGATTTCGAACACTGAAAAAATGTAAATATTATGTTTGTGTTCTTAATATTCATATCGAAATGTATATCCTAATCGTACCATGGTCAACAGTTAAAACCTTCCTAGCTTTCATTTGTAAAAATTTATCTAAAGGAAGTCTACCGTGCCTTACATCAGCCTGTTTGGCTACTTTGTGACACAAACCCTAGAAATGTAAATGCGGTGTAAGAAGATTTATACATATCAAATAAGCTAGCTTACCTTATGACTATTATGATCAACAAGACCACCTATAACATACACACAATCATGTTCTAGATGATTGATCACATTTTCTGATTCACTAGTTAGATATATGATTTTCTCTTTTGGATAAATATCCAAATATCCTTCCACGTAAAATTTTACCTAAAAATAATATTTAAATTTCTAAGCATTCTAGGTGCTTTATTATTTTTAATGAATTTAGGATCAATTACTTACATCCCAATGTTGATATCCATTATGTTTTTGCATGTGTGTTCTTGATGTACCATTAAAACTAGTAAGGGAAAATTGCATTGGTGCAAGGGCCCTCCTATTCAATGTATAACATCTTAATATCTGCTTGGTCAATTTTGCAATGTCTTTATCGATCATTAAGTCATCGAAAGACATGTCAATAGTTACTTCAATTTTACAGTTACTATCAGCCATGGTACTCTTTTTTAAAGCTTTCCTAGATGGTCCAAGATCTATATTATTTGCACGAGCATGTGCTCGTTTTTGTCTTGCTTTCTCCCGTTCCTTTAATCTATGTTAATCATAGTAACACATTATCATTACAGATTTTATTATATATACAATCAATAACCAACATCATATTTATATAAAGGTACAGTGCACAAGAAAATTATTAACTTAAAAATTGAAGAATTAAAAAATAAAAACCTTTTCTCACTCTTTCGTTGTAACCATTTTTCTCTTTTCTTTATTTTTTTCAGTTGTCGTTTGCTAATATTCGGATTTAATTCCGAAAGATTTTTGTCAATGTCATGACAATCTTTATGATCAGAAATATTTGTATCTTGTTTATCATTTTCTGTTTCTCTACTTTGATTTATATCTTTTTCGTTTTCCATGTTATATGAAAAATCCGAAAAGGAACGAGGAACTTGCGTTTGTATTCATAAGTAATATACAAATACAACCTATGCAAATTCAAACAGTGTCACATTTCACAAAAATATGTAAAATAATAGTATCTACATATATTTTTATTTATCATAAAATTACTTATTATCACTAAATTATTTTATATTACATATAGAAACAAAAATATTTCATTTTTAGAAAATAACCTTTTTCATTGCATTTATAATAAACATTCTATTCACTCATTATATCTTTATTCACACACTATTTTAGCATAGCAACATACAAGAGTTTAGAAAATGATCATCTGTAATAATTAAATTTCGATGTTAAATACATACATAATTTGAAACAACAATTAAACGAGACATATGTATGTACGTATGTCACATGTATATACATACATGACAACTAAAATTACTAGTGATATTGTAATAGAGAATTAGGAATGTTGGCAACCAAGTCAATAGTCCCTAGAGAAAAGAGTCATCTGAATGAAAATCTAAAATCTAAATCATCTTTTCGTAGTACAGAAGCAGACGATTTCTCAACGAGTTAGCAACGTGTTGGATCGGTTTTTCTGAAGCGGGAGAATGCACGTTGTTGGGGTCGACGGTCGTGTCGTCGGCTATTTGTTTTGCTTTCTAATACTCCAAGCAAAACTCACGAATTCGCGGACTTCCTGGAGGCTCAGTGCTGATAAAGTCATTAAGACAACAGACTTTGTGAGTACGGTGGAAGATGATCCTATTTTTGATATCTTGGCGACTAGCATCAGTGTCGGTAATGGACAAAGTTGGAGTAGATCCGCTATTTCTGACAAACACGAAAAAGTACAACCGTACTGTCAAGACTGCAAAAATGTTCTCTCTGGAAATCATGAACGGTAAGAAACCACGATGTTCTGGTTAGTCTTGGGTAAGAGCAGAATGGCATGTCTTCCTTTTGAATATTAAATTTCTTAGATTTGTTGTATACAATAAATTACTGATACTTCTGTCTTGGAAGTCTATGTGCCTGAAATATACGATAAAAGATTCAAATCAATTGCTATTTATATTGAGCAACAATTCATCTAACAGAATAAGAATTATATCTATATATGACCTTCTGATACGTAAACGATTAGAATGTTTGTGGAATTTAAACTGTTTTGTTTTATCAGTATTAAATAACATTACAGTTCCTATTAGAAATATTGATTTTTGATTGTTAATTCTGTGTGATTGTTTCATAGTCCCTCTTTTACAGTTACATTATTTATAGATTGTGAAAAATATCAGTACACTTATAAATGCGAGAAGTAGTCAGTGATTGCATGTTTAATTGTTGGACTATTGTTTATTTGAAATATATATATGTATATTTTATAGACAGCAATTCTGCATGTATAATAAAATATGCTTTTCCTGTTATAAGTTATAAAAAAATGTGAAAAGTTATAAAATGTTTCAATTTTGACGAAAGATAGTAACAAGTAAATTGTACAATATCTACAAAATATTTTAATTTGTGAAAAATGTATTGATATCTGTTTATTTTTATTAGTTCTATTTCACTATAATTATGTTTTATAATATTCTATATTTTGTTCCAAATACTTGTTACAAATAATCCAATGTAATTTTCTGTTTCTTCCTGTAGTTAGTATTTGTGTGTGGCTTACTATTCTTTCAGCGTTAAAAAAGCCCTAACTTTGGTCCCCTTGGCAGACGATTCTCGTCATACGTGTTGAAGGATACTCCAAATGCCACTGAGCCTTTTACTCTATCATCTCAAACATCAGGCGAGCAAGTTATATGCACTTCTGGTCAGCAATGTGAGGATGTAATCTTGGACTGTGGAAAACCTGTTAATTTCACCTATTATGACAATCTGCTTGGTGTTGCCAACAGAGATAAACATCCATTGGTTCCTGAACCCAATGTAGCTCTAATGTTCAAGAAGAATGGTGGTAAAACTATGGATGTTGATATTGATCTATTAGAGAAACGTTTAATAAAAGCTAAACGAGAGGTACATCTTAGGCCTGTTATATATTTCTAATGACAGCAAACAAATATAATATGTACAAAATTGTATACTTATTTATTATTTCATTAAACTTCTTTTTTAGAAACCAAAATCAGTGCAACTTTATAATCAAATAGGAAATTTTTGGCGCATAAAAGGAGATGCACAAAGATCAATTGAGTGTTTTCGAAGGGCACTTGCTGTGTCACCACATAATGCAGAAGTTCTATTAAATTTGGCTAGAGTGTTATTGGTACAACAATATTTAGATGATGCAACATATTTAGCAAGACGATCCTTGGAATTGCAACCTCCAGATCGCAATGCATGGGAGCAATACCTTACACTAGGTCAAATATTCAAGGTGAATCGAAATTTTTAAAAACTTAAATCTATTGCATTTTCACGTGTGTTGTTTGAATATTGGAGAAACAGGAAATTGGTAAACTAATATATGTTTTTCCGTCTTTCTGAAGGCATATGGCCATTACCAAGAAGCAGCTATACATCTAAGACATGCCTTAGAATTAAAACCAGATCTCTCTGAAGCTGCTGAAGCTCTAAGAGAAGTGGAGTCACTTCCGGCTGCGAGCATAAATACCTACACATTACTGATAATCATATGTCTGGTAAGGAAGATAAGAAAATGATATTGTACTTCATATTCAAATTAATATATGAATGATCGTAGTAATATTACCTTCCATTTTGCAGGTGCTTGGAGTACTATTAGTGGTTTTAAGCAATGTGGAAGGCGACGAAGATTCTACTCTAGTCAATGGACAACTTCAACGTCCAGTACAACGCCATTTTAGTCGTGCTATGGCCATGCGAAGTTTAAGGCTCAACGTTGCTCGTAATAAACGTTGTTGATAATTTATCGAGATAAATAATTCTTGTGATAGAATAAAATTTCCAACTGCTGTTATCATTTATCTATCTACAAAGTATTATTTGTAATATGATTTTTAATAATTCTTTAGCGTATTAATAATAATGCAATTTATTATAACTACAAACGAAAATATACAATAGAAAACAACAGCATTTTTCATTTACTGCAACGAGACGAACTGCGCTATATATGTATATATATCTACTTACACACAAGTACGCGTGTATTGTGAAATCATCTTTTTTATACATTAAAAACGGAATGTAATTTATGGAATTACAAGATATTTTTTCCATTACTCTAAATATTAACATACATGTTATTAACAACGTTACTCAGCATCATTTACAATGTACA